GGAGCACGCGAGTACACTGGAGCACCGATCAAGTCGCGCAGAATTTGCGGGTCACGAGTTGAGAATGCGGGCCGCGCACTGGGTAACGCTGCGAGCATCGCAGGGGGCGGCGTGCGGGTCTCAGCTGGGAACACGGGCATCGCGCGGCTGCATCCGCGAGCACCACGCGGCTACTACTGGGACTCAAATGCGAGCGGGTCTGCCTGCGCTTGAGTTGCGGTGGTTCACGACTGGTTTCAGCGGTTCAAGGCTAGCACGTGGCTCGATAGCCGAGGGTTCGGAGCTTCAAGGGCTCGAAATATATGGCTCGACTTAGGGTAAAAAGTTCATGAAAATTTTGGGTTTGGCTCCCTTGAATTCAATCAAAAATTTGAAGAACAATGTAAAATAAACTTAGGAAGAAATATGGAATACCTTGGGAAAAGAGAGATAGTTCGACCTGATAAGAGTGTTGTCGGGCTGAAGAAGATCTTGGCTTTGGGCTGCTCGTGGGTTGATGGATGGGTCGGCATCAAGGATTGCTCGTGGTCGCCATGAAGAATCTTGGTTGCTTGAGGAAAAGAGAAAGTTGTTTAGAAGATGGAAAGAGAGGATTGATGGTCGATTGATGAATCTAATGGGAAATTAATGAGATAGAGAAGGAGAGGAGATAATTTGACCGATGCTCTTTCAAACATCTCTTATATCATTCCTTTTTATTTTGATAATTAACTTAGTTTACTCTTTAGACTTTAATAAAAACTTACCAAAAATCTTAATCCCTTTTAAATTTATTTTCCTCAATTCTTGATAGATAAAAATCAATTAAGCTACTAACAAGAAAAATAATAATAAAATAACTCAAAACCATACTTATTATAAATGATGAATTAAAATATGAAGAACGCTTATATCTATATCTATATTTATATGTATATAAAAAGGTTTGATTATTTTTTAAATAGTAACTATTTTTCTCTAAGAAAAGTGTTGTTTACTAAATCTGAAAATTATCTAAACAATGTATGGTATGTTCTAAAGGTACAATTTAGGTAATTGCGGCTGATTTATTGAGGTAATATTAATCATATTAAAAATTCCTTTTTTAAATGTATTAATTACATGTGATTTCTGCAGATTTTTAAAGATACAATCTAGGTAATTGCGGCTGATTTATTATGATAATACTAATCACATATATTAGTCTCTAGAGATACACACACACACACATATATATATATATATATATAGGATGTGGTTCAAATGAGAACCAAGTCCTAATGTGAGAACCGTGAGAACCACTATTTTTAATTGTATGTAGTGCTATGATTGATTGTGTTTTAGTGCTATTTTTAATATTGATGTATTTTATTAAAAATAGCAACACCATTTGTATTAGCATATGTGAAAATGATAGCACCATGTGATATTAAAAATAGCATCATACACAATAAAAAATAGCATCAAATATGGTTCTCACGGTTCTCACACCAGAACTAGTTTTTATTTGAACCAGCCCCTATATATATATATATATATATATATATAAATGTTTGATTATTTTTTAAATAGTAACTATTTCCCTAAAAAAAATCTATTTACTATTTCGAGAAATTAATTTAACAATTTATGGAATATATCAAATGTTCACTTATAGAAATTGCGTCTCATTATTTAAGGAAGTATTTAAACCACATTTTAAGATACCTTAATTACTCAAATCATGTGAATTAATTAGTATATGGTATAAAGTGAACGAAATTATTTTTGGTATTCATGGTTATTTATATAGGAAATAGATTAATCAATATATGGTATAAAGTGATCAAATTTATTCAAGTTATTTGATGACTGTTTTTTGGTAGGGAATTTGTTGAAAAATTAATTAATATACCGTGTACTTTTTTCTGTAATGAGCAGGCCAGTATATTGATTTTTTTTTTGCGTGAATTTCAAATTTTCCTATGAATTTAACATAATAAAATTACAGTAACTCCGACAACATAAAATGAACGGATATTTTGATATAATGTGTTGTATCGATGTTTCTTTTATAGAAAAAGCTCTGGTCAATTTTTTTTTTTTTAATAATTAGTGGGTCTCGATTTAACTATTTTTTTGTTACGACATTTCAAATAATATTTTTGTGAAATGCACAGTTCATTTTTTTTTTAGCATGATAAAGAGTGTCGGTTATGTTGGCATAAAAAATCTTATGACTGATTGTTTTTACTCAACTACTTATATATTTTGATTTGGTTATTTTATACAAAAATAAATTCATATTAATTAATTAAACAATATAAGTTTTATATTAATACGTATTATTCACATAGCTTTTTAAATATATAATAAATTTTATCAAAATAATTATTTTATGGAATCACGTTATAGTCAAATCGAACTTCTGAATAAAAATATTGAAATGACACATATTTTGGAACGAATATAATGCAATTTATTATCAATTATGTGCAACGCGCAGGTTGTGTACTAATTTTGAATAGATATTTTTATGTAATTTCGCACCATTTAAATTTTCTATAATATTTTCAATAAATTAATATGGGTACATTGTATTACATATTGATTTCATGTTTTTAATTTATAATATTATTTAATGAGAATTTTTAATTTATAAATATTAATGAATATCGCTTACCGTGCATCGCACGGGATTCGTACTAGTTCCTTAAAACACTAACGTAAGAATAAAGTGTATCATTTGATTTGCGTAATCATATATTTAAAAAAACTAATAAATATCCACAATTAAAAAGAAATAAACTTTTAAGCTATTTAAATTATGTAATTCGAATTATTTATTCTATATTGTGTATTTTTTATATATAATAATTATGAATTAAATATATCTTATAATTTTTTTTTCTAAATTGTTTACTTATTATGATTTTTTTCACAGTAAAAATACAAATGACCATATATAAAAACGTAACATAAATATCCACAACAACAAAAAATAAAGTTAATTAATTGCATGTAAAGTGATACCAGTATTCGATATCTATACCTATATAATCAATTCTAAAGATCTTCTGCTTTAAAAATGCGTAGAATGTAATCAATACCATTTGTATGAAAGTTTTGAAAATAAGGAAATGAACTATAAAAATTTTATCTACTGAAATTGATATTTATTATATATAGATACCAAACTAGATACTTAACACAATAATATTCGAATTCATACTTTATATTTGTCTCGAGATATTCAAAATAACCAAGTTGTATATAAAGGTTTCTTTTGCCAAATATGTGATAGATACCAATTTATAAATAAAAAATGTGTGCTGCGATATTACTTTGCAATATACAAAAAAATCTATTTCCAAANCAAAAAAGCACTTGTGAATATATGAAATTTTATTAATAAATAAACAGGTTTCTTCTCACATCTACTCAAGAAAACGTGTTATAGTATTGTACATGAAGAACCTTGCAACATATATAAATATTTTTTTTCAAATTAATTATAATATCAAATATCAAATCATTATAATTTAACATAAATAAGTAATATTATCAAATTAATTAAATTGATGCAATTTCTAGACTATAAGTTGTTTTTTTTACAATATTTTCAAATCAAAATATTTCTGAAATTTAATCCATAAGTTGTCTTTTTTACAATATTTTCAAATCAAAATATTTCTAAATTTAATCCATAAGTTGTCTTTTTTACAATATTTTCAAATCAAAATATTTCTGAAATTTAATTCAATTAAGCATTTTACTAACTTTATAAATTAATAGATAAGTCATGTAATAACTCACATGCTCAATATTCTTTTTTAATTTTGCTTTTAGTCAATTACAATACTTTCAACATGAAGTGCAAATTCGATTTGCCAAAGCAAGTTTCAAGAACCGATAAACCATGTTTGATGTTGCACGTAATTCGAATAATTGTTCGCGTTGAATATAAAAACTACATGGAAATCCTATTTCATGACGAGGAGGTGAGTTTCATTTATTTTCATTGCAGTTCGTGTTCTTATATAGATAATAATACTAACACTAATTTTAACATTAATATTTGAAGTTTATTATAATAACTTTAGTACTCATGTGCTTGAATGTAAGGTACGATATTGGTTGTCACAAAGCTCTCCATTCATGTGCTTGAATATAAGGTATTGACTGGATCTAATGCAAGAGAAAAAGTGTTGATACTTTGAATGACTAACACCTTCCGCTTATAGTTCTTTTAATATTTCAGCGGAGGCAATTTTTCCTAAGGGTTTCTTATGCCATGGCGATTAACAGGAGTCAGGGTCTGTCTTTATCACATGTTGGCATGTTCTTGAAGAAGTCGGTGTTCTGTCACGACCAATTGTATGTAGTTGTTTCCAGTGTCACTAATTGAAAAGGCTTGGAAATATTAGTTTGCGGGGAAGATGGTGTGCCTACAAGGCAAAACATATTATCTACAATGAGGTTTTTAATAATATATAATTATATTCTTTATTCTATTTATTTAATTATCTTTATTCACGAATATAATAAGACTGGGTATATAACCTTAAAACCGTGCACCCCGTGCATCGCACGGGTAATTAAAATAATTGGTAATTAAAACAACGAGGCACTACAGAAGTTGGTGGGAATCATATGGCACAAACTGGAGACGGGTACTTGTTCTTTTCAAGATTGGTGTTTAGAGATAACAGGAGCTCAAAAACTCCAATACCATCAAAGTTAGGATAAGCCTTTCAACTTACCTTCTTTGGTGGCTTTGGTAAACTAGAAATTGTTGGGCCTTTGAAGGTGTTTGGGTCTCTGTAACTGAAGTGGTTGATAATGCACTTAGAGAGTGGAAGGAGTAAACTGAAATTTCCTTAGCACCAGAAGTAGAACAACAAAGTCTGAGATTGAGGAGTTAGATTCAACATGAGAAATTTTCCAAGAAGGTATGGCGATTGTTCTCTCAGTCAGTGCCTTTAGCTCATCCATGGATTTGATCATGCTTAGGGGTGTGGCTGAAAAAAAAAAATGGAAGGATGTTGAATGAATGGAATGAATCTATTGGAAGCTGCAAAGATCCTAGAGAAGCTGAACTTAGACGATTGAGATGGTTACTTGAGGCTAGTGTGATTGAGAACTTGGGGATGTTATCTGCTATGAGCAAAGAAGTTTGGCAGCCTCCCTCAAGTGTGTGGATTTTAACGCAGGGTACTTGTTCTTTTCAAGATTTGTGTTTAGAGATAACAGGGGCTCAAAAACTCCAATACCATCAAAGATAGGATAAGCCTTTCAACTTACCTTCTTTGGTAGCTTTAGAAAACTATAAATTGTTGGGCCTTTGATGGTGTTTGGGTTTTTGAAACTGAAATGATTGATAATGCATTTGATAGAGTGAAGGACAATAATAACAATAGGTAATGAAAAACTACCCTGAAGGGTCCTCAACAAGATAGCCTGCCACAAATGTCAATATTTTAGAATGCTCATCTAACTCTTAGCCACTAATATATATATACTAATCCCTAATATTTAATAATTAAACCCTAAAGCCCATTTAAGAGCCCACTAACTTAACTAATTATATTAACTCAATAATAAGGATAATTAGGCCTACGCCCTAGGGTCCAGCAGGAGCAGCCGCAACCTATTTTGGCCTTCTAGAATAAACTTTCAGAAATTGGTCTCTATCAACTTCTGCATGGATGGAAACAACCTTGTCCCCAAGGCTGAAATTAGAGAATTGGCCACGTACTTCCTCAGTGTCCAGCCAAACCATATCATCATCCCCGTGATCTACCCATTTTATTAGAACTTGTGGAACCATTGCCCCATTGCGCTCAACCTCTCGTCGAGCTAGATCCTTCTCTTGAATAAATAATGGGTCATCTCCCAATAATTCATCCGGTAATGTAGGCTCAACGAAATTCAGTCCCACCGAAGCTTTTAACAGGGAAACATGAAAGACTGGATGCACCCTTGCGGTATCAGGCAGTTTCAACTGATAAGCAACTGCTCCAATACGAACCTCAACTTCAAACGGCCCAAAAAATCGAGGTGCTAACTTAGTGTTCATGTAATGAAAAAGCGTTCTCGACGAAATTTCACAAACACTTTATCCCCTACTACAAGCTCCACGTCCCTACGATGTTTATTCGCTTCACGAATCATGCATTGTTGACCATGTTCTAGGTGCAAACGCAAATGGCGCAAGACCTCATCCCTGTCCATAAGATCCTCTGCTAATGATTATGTCCTCACTTCCTCTGGTATAAAACGATGAAGCATAGGAGGTGCACGATCATAAACTACCTCAAATGAAGTACCGCCCACACTTGATTGAAAACCCGTATTATAGCAGTACTCAACCCAAGCCAACCACTTACTCCATTCTCGTGGCCTTTTGGAACTAAATCAGTGCAGATATGTCTCAAGGCAACGATTCAGTACCTCGATCTGCCCGTCTGTCGCAGGATGATATGCGGAACTCATTCTCAACTTAGTGTCTGCCAACTTAAACAACTCTTGCCAGAACAAACAAACTTAGGAACACTGGATCTCTATATGATACAATTTATGTAAGAATACCATGCAAACGCACCACCTCTCGACAAAATAAATTTTGCCACAGATCGGGCGATGTAAGGGTGTCTTAATCCCAGAAAATGACCATATTTTGAACACTTATCAACAACCACCAGGATACAGTCAAGATTGCCCGAACGGGGAAAGTCCGAAATAAAGTCCAAACTAATGTCCTCCCAAACTCGATCTGGAATTGGCAAGGGTTGTAGCAGGACTGTTGGCGACTTGGTGTCGTGCTTGTTTCTTTGGCAGATGTCACAACGCCTCACAAAATCCGTCACTTGGCGCATTATTCCTGGCCAATACACGTTTGCGGCTATGCGTCGATAAGTGCGGAATGCCCCAAAGTGAGCCCCTGGTGGTGTGGAATGGAATTCTGAAATTAATTTGGTGGTCCACTCGGATCCACTAGGATTACCAAGCGACCCTTAGAGAAAATATTCCCATGAACGAGGGAGTAATGTGGTGGTGCGGACGTGCCAGATTCTAAGGCTGACACAATCTTGGATAATTTTGGATTAGACTGAATAACCAATTTTAGTCGACTCCAATCCATCCATGTGGGCATACTAATGGCTGTTAATTCCACCTCCTCCTGCCTATGTGATAGGGCGTCAACAGCTTGATTTGAAGTTGCAGAACGATAAACTATTTCGAAATCAAAGCCTAGCAATTTGGCAACCCAATTTTGCTGGGCAGGAGTAGTCAATTGTTGTTGTAATAGATGTTTCAAGCTACGTTGATGTGTACGAATTAGAAAGCGTCGCCCCATGAGATAGGGACGCCAGTGTTGGATAGCCATCACCAATGCCATCAACTCCTTCTCGTAAGCGGATTTAGCTAAGGCGCGATCAAAATACTCTTGCTAAAATAAGCCATCGGACGACCCTCTTGCATCAAAACTGCACTGAGCCCTCGTCCCGATACATCACACTCAACGACAAACGGTAATGAAAAATCAGGCATAGCTCAAGCGGAAGCAGAAATTAGGGATCGCTTGAGTTCTTGAAAAGCCTGTTCAGCTGCCAGACCCACTCTCGAGATGTCGTTTTTTTCAATAGAGACGTGAGAGGAGTGGAAATCTTGCCATAATTACGAATGAATCGGCGATAGTAACCTGTGAGGCCAAGAAAACCACGCAGGCTACGAAATCTTGCCATAACTACGAAGGAGTAAATTGAAATTCCTTAGCTCTAGAAGTAGTACAACAAAGTCTGAGATTGAGGAGTTAGATTTAAGATGAGATATTTTCCAAGAAGGTATGGCAGATTGTTCTCTCGGTCAGTGCCTTCAGCTCATCCAGGGATTTGATCATGCTTAGGGGTGTGGCTGAAAAAAATGGAAGGATGTTGAATGAATGGAATGAATCTATTGGAAGCTGCAAAGATCCTAGAGAAGCTGAACTTAGACGATTGAGATGGCTACTTGAGGCTAGTGTGATTGAGAACTGGGGGGATGTTATCTCCTGTGTGGAGCAAAGAAGTTTGCAGCCTCCCTTAACGACAGGCTTCAGGTGGATGTGGAATGGAATGTAATTGCAAAAGACATTTGGATTCTTTCTGCTCATTTTACTTCTTGTATCTTTGTTCAAGTTTCTGATTTTGGTTAGTTTGGTGTGTACTGTTTGAGCTTTGTGAGGGATTGAATTGTTCAATGTCCATTATCACCTGTTTAGCTAAGTCTAGTCTGTTTTAGTTGGATCAGGTGATCTTATAATTAGTCTGTTCTATGACCGGTTTAATAATTTATGCTTTATTGATTGGAATCATTGAAAAACAGGAAA